AAAATCCCATAGTGTCTTCTCAAAAGCTCCCAGATCTGATAAGGAACTTCAACAAAGTTTCAGGGTACAAAATCAATGTATAAAAATCAGGAGTAGCATTTCTATACACCAACAACATCCAAGCTGAGAATCATATAAAAAAATACAATCCCATTCACAATAGCCACACAAAAAAACATAGAAATACAGTTAAGCAGGAAGGTGAAAGATTTTTATAATCAGAATTACAAAACACTGCCTGAAAGAAATCAGACAAGACACAAACAAATGAAAAAAAAACATTTCATGTGTACGGCTTAAGAAAGAATCAATATTATTAAAATGGCCATACTGTTCAAAGCAATTTACAGATTCAATGCTATCCCTATAAAACTACCAATGATATTCTTTACAGAATTAGGAAAAACTATTCTAAAATTCATATAGAATGAAAAAAGAGTCCAAATAGCCAAAGCAATCCTAAGCAAAAAGGAAAAAGCTAGAAGCAACGCATTACCTGACTTCAAAAAATACGAGACTACAATAACCAAAACAGCATGATATTGGTAGAAAAACAACCACATAGACTAATGGACCAGAATACAGAACCCAGAAATAAAGTCACACACCTACAATCACCTGATCATCTACAAAGTCAAACAAACAAACAACAACAACAAAACAAACAAACAAAAAACAGGCAACGAGGATAACTGGCTAGCCATATGCTGAACATTGAAACTGATATTTTCTTTATACTACTTACAAAAATAAACTCAAGATGGATTATAGACTTAAAAGTAAAATCCAAAACTATAAAAACTTTGGATGATAATGTAGGAAATATCATTCTGGAAATAGGCTCTGACAAAGATTTTATGACAAAGACACTCGATGCAATTGGAACAAAAGCAAAACTTGACAAATGGGTTGTAAACTAAAGAATTTCTGCACAGCAAAATAAACTATCAATGGAATAAAATATACCACCTACAGAATGGAAGAAAATATTTGCAAACTATGCATCTGACAATGTTCTAATATGCAGCATCTATAGGGAACATAAAAAAATTAACAAGGAAACCCCATTAAACAGTGGGCAAAGTAGATGAACAGCCGCTTTTCAAAAAACATACATGTGGTCAACAAGCATGTGAAAAAATGCTTAACATCTCTAATCATTAGAAAAATGCAAATCAAAAGCACAATGAGATACCATCTTACACCAGTTGGAATGGCTATTCTTAAAAAGACCAAAAATTGCACATGCTGGTGAGGTTGCCAAGGAAAGGAAATGCTTATACACTGCTGGTGAGATTGTAAATTTTATCAGCCGCTGTGGGAAGCAGCTTTGCAAATTCTCCAGGAACTTATAACTATTATCTGACCCAGCAATTTCCATTATAGTATATATACTTAAAGGAATATAAATCATTCTACCATAAAGACACATGCACACATATGTTCATCACAGCACTATTCATAACAGCAAAGACACAGAATCAACCTAGATGTCCATCAATGGTAGGCTGGATTTTTTCTAAATGTGGTACGTATAAACCACGGAATACTATGCAGCCATAAAAGAAGTTACCGTGTCATTTGCAGCAATACAGATGGAGCAGGAGGCCATTATCTTAAGTGAGCTAATGCTGGAAAAGAAAACCAAATCTACATGTTCTTACTTGTAAGCGGGAGCTAACATTCAGTACACATGGACAAAGAAGGAAACAATAGACACTGGGGCCTACTTGAGGGTTGAGGGTGGAAGAAGGTGAGAATGGAAAAACTACCTATGAGGTACTATGCTTATTACCTAGGTGAGGAAATAATCTGTACACCAAACCCCCATGACACACAATTTACCTATATAATAAACCTGTGCATTTACCCATGAAACTAAAACAAAAATTAAAAAGAAGTAATTGCTGTGATTCAGAAACATTTGCAAATGCAAACAGATGTGCAACATCTATTTCTCTATTAATCTCTTTTGCAAATAAATATTATTGTATGTTTTTAAGGTTCACAGAAATATGTTATGAAATACATACACAAAGTAAAAAGGTTACTGCAGTGAAGCAAAGTAATATACTCACCGTCTGAATAGCTGCCCATTTGTTTTATTCGTTTTTGTAGGGAAGAGCAGTTACAGTCTACTCATTTAGCATGAATCCCAAATACACGTTTATTAATTTTATTACAAATATATAAAGCCAATTAAGAAAAACTGCTAATTAAAATAACTTAATATTATAATATGGCATATTTTCCCCAGGTTAAATTATTAAATATAAAGCACCAGAGCTAGATAAATCATTCTTAAAGAGCATTTTTATAATTTAAATTTTAAACTTCATTTAATTGCTTGTAGTATTCAACTAAGCAAATTAACTTGAAATTGGAGACTAACTGAAACATAATCTATCCAAAAAAAGTCATGTAGTCAGGTCTTGAGAAGGCCATTTCCTCAAGAATTCCTATAGTCATTATTTGCTCTTTGGGAAGAATGTATCATCACCACATGAATTATTGGTACAAACAGACAGCAGGCATCAAGGGGAGAAATGGTTCTGAGAGAAAGCTGTATAAAGCAGGTTTTTCACCAGTGTAGCCCCCTGAAGGATAAATCACTTTTTTATTATAAAAGATTAAACTTTAAATCCATAAATACTGTTGTACTCTGCTCAACAGCTCATAGTATCACATCACATCACACATTTTACAGCTCATAAATGTACATCAAATACAGCTCAAGTTTAGTGACCATAATCTTAACTCTATTTCCCTGATATTTTTCTAATAAGTAGACAATAAACAGCAGGAAAATATCACAACTTTTATAATAAAATACGGTTTGTTTTCAAAAGACTATTAAGTATCAGATATAATTTGTTTCCAAAATATTATGATTGATTGTTGTAGTATAAAAACAAAAGAACAAGGTAGGTCAACTTTGATAAGTGAGTATAGTCTGCCTCTCAGAATTTCACTCTTTCTCTGTAAAAGAGCTCTAAAGGTCTCTTTTGTGTGATAATTAAATGAAATGAATATACCTTTAAAAATAAATTAAAGATGTTTGGCAGGCTATTACTCATTTAAAGAAATGATAAATTTTCTCAAGCATGACTTGTTATTTGAGACTGTTCCATACAACTATTATATTAATCATCAGGTGCTATAATTTTTCACATCTTCCACATTTAACATGAAAATGTAATGCTAATATGTGGGCTTGATCAGTCAAGTTAAAAATGTAACGTTCACCAAAATTGAAGAATCTAAAAAAATAGTAACTGTACTAAAGATTTCCATCTATAACAAAAGCATGACCCTGAGCAATTCATATTTTTTTCAGTTACCTCATCCGTAAAATAAAAATTTTATATATTCTCTGACTTCCAAGATTAGTTCCAGCCTATGCATTCCATGATTTTAAAAATTGTAAGAGATAAAACAGTTTGCTGGTGATCTGTGGTTCACAGCAGTTAAGAATAAGCAGTTTTATTGTTTGAGCATTTTCTTATACATTATGAAATTAAACTAAACACAGAAATTTGACACCATAGAATATTCTTATTTTGGTATTCATCATTCTGAATCAAGCATAGACTCTAGAAACTATCAGCATAAAACCACTTGAAGAGCAATCAAGACTTTAATGCCTTGTATATCTTGCCAGCTTAATTTGATCAGAGACTATAGAACTACATTTTTATTTAGAGGCGAGTATTAAACTGTCATCGACTTTCCCACATCCAGAGAATACAAAAATGTTAATCCAAGAAACATCATCAAGTTATGCCATATTTAATTATATGATTTAAGAAAAGAATCTTGTATTCAAGATTATACTGGTTAATTGATCAAGTGAAAGAGGAAACATTATTCTTTATACTCCAACATATTTCTACCTTATTTTACTACTATGCAAATTTTTCATGTATATTTCTAAGACTGCCCAATTTAATATTCAAGAGATTATTATAAAGCAAATCTAATAAAGTTTATTTTTAAAAACATATACCTATTTAACACGCTTTCCTGCAACAGAGTCTAGCTCAAAACAAAACAAAACAAAACACAACAACAACAAAACTAAACAAAATTGCACGCCCAAAATACTTCATTTCAAAGATAAATTTTATGGTTTGCTGGGCTTTAACAATTGTATCCCTGTTTGAAATAATTATAGACAAAGCATCTAGTTAATTATATTTACCAAAGTTTATCATATTAGAAGACAATTGGTAAACTAGAGCATTTATTTCTGTAATCATTACTATCAGGATAATTACATGGTCCTTGCTTCGCATTCACTCTTCAGAAAGTAAATTATCAGCTTGAATCGTTGAATTTACATTTTAGCTTCCTCCATTCATTTCACCAAAAAAAATCCCTCCTTTTACCCACTGACATTTATGAATATAACTGATGAAACCGTGCCACTGAATGCTATCTTTCATTATCAATGATCTACCAGTGAAAAAATAATTTAAAGAAAGATATAACATTAAGAACCATATCATAATTATTTTATGAATGAGCCTTGAATATAGAAGCCTATAGGTTATCATCTAAGAGTCTAATAACCACCATGCGATTTTCTTAGATATATTAATAATGATTCCTTGCTGATTTTCTAATGTTACATGTTTAGTATCATTAACTCTACTCCCTTTTATAATAAGGATATACATTTTAACGTGAACCAAACATAGTCAAATGGATGTTCATATTTGGACAAATTGATGAATCATTTATATTTTGAATAAATGAATAAAATATCTGATTTTGCTTCCTACATTCACAGAACAAAAACGCTGTAGCCTTCACCTGAAAGTTACCCTCATCATTGCACTTTCAAAAATTTTCCTTCCCTAGGTCAATATCATGTGCTTGCATACATTTACCCAATAAAGCTTCAAATATTTATTTTATAAAAGTCAACAAATAAAATGTCATCTTATTTTATCATTTTTTTCCTCAATTCTATGAGAGCAAAGTATATTTGGTAGTACCTTTGGGTATTGCTTGACAGGAATCAGTACTCTTTCTGAGAGCTTTATGTTTTTGTTGCTGATGACATCAAGATATTTCTTTTCTTCGTCTTCCTTTTTTCCATCAGAACCTTGAAATTTTTCAATTTCTGGAAAAAAAATCACAAGAAGAAGACAAGTGAAATGAGGAAAAATATTATCATAAATATGCTGATTGTTCATATTACTTCTCTTCTCAAATAACATTTTGATGAATAAAAGGCCTGAAACGAACAGATATGTGAATGCTGCTACTGTATTTAAGAGAACCTATGTCAACTCAAACTAAAAAGTGATAATTGAAGATGTGACTGTGTCTTCTGTGAAACAATTGATGAATGTAATTAATTTTTAACATCTTCAAACACAATAAAAAGGTAAAATACATCCTTTGATTATTTAAACTATTTTAGCAAACATAAGTTTTTCCAGCAGCAATAAATAAAACAAAATACATTTTAAGAATATATGCTTTATTTTTACTCAGAATTATTCCTAAGAAAATAAAAATAATTAAGACGGTAATTACTAAGTTAGCTAAAATAGGTAGTAAAGAAAAAATGCATGATATTTTATAAGGTTTATAGAAAAGTCATATAAAGAATGAAATCAAATCTATAAATGGTAACATTGGTATTCATCAGTATGGCATTATTTATCTAGATATTCAAGAAAAACTTTAGAATGTTACCAAATTTGACATTTTGAAGCATATTTATCCACCCCTTCATTTTTGAATTAATTTATTCCATAAAGAATGTTAAACCTCTACTAGGCACCGGAAATACAACAGAAAAATAAAATATCTATTCTTTTATAGGCTGTATATTCTAATATGGAAAATGAACAATGAGAAAAAGAATACATGGGCACAAATACGGTTATGGGTGACAGCAAAGAATAAACACAATGTAGCTGTTAAGAATACAAAGGAGAGTCACACGGTGGTTATTACTTCAGATTTTCAGGGTGATATTTGAGCAAAGCCCTGAATGGCAGAGAAGAGTAAGCCATGAGAAGACTGAGAAGAGGAGCTTAACATTTCTATGAAAAACATGCTTTACTTGCTCTTGGAATAGCAAGAAGCAAGAAAGCCTGTGTGGCTGAAGAATAGTGAATGTAGAAAAAAGACTTGCTAGGTGGTTATAGAACAGATCATGTAAGAATTGTAGGATACATAATGTTTTCTGCTTTTTATTGTGACTGAAATGGTAAGCTTCTGGGCCATTGAAGAACAAAGGAAGACAGCCACATTGCATTTTTACGGATAACATCATATGTAATATTTAAAACCAATCATAGCAGAAGGAAGGCAAGCAAGGAAACCAACCTACATTTGTCTAGCTGAGAAACAATGCTGACAAGGTAGGAATGAGATATTAGAAGACTGGATGGCTACAGCTAGAGTCATCTCATGCAATGCACCATGTAAAATAAGTGTTTTGAAGAACTGTTAAAAATTCACTTTACAAATTGCCTTTATTTTTTTTACATAGTTATTATAACCATAGCATAATCAGTAAATATTTCTTTTTTTTTTCTTTGCTCCTGTCAAGGTACTAAAATACCAACTAAATTAAGATATGAATGTGAAAGTGTTTTACTTTTGCTATGGATAGAACAAAACATTCTATTTTTTGTTATTTTGGAGTAGAGAAAAGGTGATGATAGTTACTAAGTATGAGCATTTTTCATACACATTTATTTATATTGCATATTAAAACAATTATTTTTTAAAGGTCTGACTACTTCCAAAGGTAAGTGGAATATACATTTTATCTAACAGATTTTTTCTTTGTTATTCTATAGTTAACCAACATTTGTTCCCCATGTTTTCAAATGACTTAAAGAAAAATCCCTAAACCAGTCAAGTTAGTAATTTTTTTATATACTAATTATTCGGGTTGTGTGGAATTTAAAACAATTATTTTGAAGTAATATTACATCACTTACCTAGGTAGTACCTGCATGAAATATAAACTGCATAAATTTTACAAAGCAACTTATAATCATCTTATCACTTACATGGTACAATTTCCCTAAAGACAAGTATCTTGAACTGAACTGAACTGTTTGACAATAAGTTATATGTCTATAATTTCTATTTAGCATGATAACATCAGATTCCCATGTCCCTACAAGGAAGTGTTAACAAGTCACTTTAACTAACTGCCTCTTTAAACTGAAAATCAATCTTTATTTCAATCTTTCAATCCCTTATATAGTTATTACAACCAGAACTATGATAGCTGCAAAGAAAATCTATTCATTATGTCCTCTGTTACTAAGAATAAACTTTTGATCACTGCCCTATGGGTGCGTGTACCTACATAATGTCATACTTTGTAGCTTGCTGAGACAATTGTAATGCGGAGCACACTGAAAAAGCTGTCTCAGTTCCTGATCTATAATACATATGGCTTCTCCCTTGTTACTTTTTCATAAAAGTAAATTGAATTTGTCTGACATTATTTGCTATCCACAAAACTACTACCTTAGGCTTTTTTTTAGACATTTGCAATTTGATCAGGCCACAATTAATTCTAATAACCTTCTCATCAAGAAACAGTGTTACATGAAATAGCATTTCCACTGCTATTTCTGTTCAATTCTACAATTTTTTTTTTGAATTTTGGGGGTATATTTTGCCCTCCTAATACTTTCAGGGACTTATCTTGTCTTCTTTGGCATATCTCCATGAGTAATAGCTCCATACTTGCATTTGTCAAATGCATAAGTAACAAAATGGTATATGCCAAACTTGCCTGGGTTTAAAACCAAAGAAAGCTAATTTAAGCAGCACCTTTATTATTTTATTTTCAATTTAAAATGGCTGTTTTTAATTTAATAACGCATGTTCTTTGTGTCTAACCTATGAACATTTAGACAATACAGGTATTCACAAAAATTTAAAGATGTCCATAGTATTATCACTCTCCAATAACTAGATAGTGTTGTGTAGTGGCACTGAATCCTTTCTCCATACTTGATTATGTATTGTCTATTTAAATTTACCTGTTGTATTGTTGGGAAAATATACTCAATATATTAGAGCCCACTTATCTTACTTATCTTTAGTTGAAAAAAATGTTAGACTACCGACAGTTTAGTGTTTTCTGATCTTTCAGTTTATTTATACATTCATCCAAAAATTTATTTTAGCCTACATTGACTGTATTTGATGTGGTTATCATCACAGTACTAAGATTATGTGAAGATTACAAAAGAGCCAAATTACATCATGTCTGCATCCACTTGCACCACGTAACCTATTGGTTTAAGTCAAACGGAGGTTACAGTAAGAAGGTAGAGCTATTTTGTAGAAAATGTTTAGTTTTGCTCTTGCCTCACCACTCCCTCATTTTCTTTGTGAATATTATTTTCTCAATTATGCTTTCTCTTGGTTTTCTATTTAAAGATTTTTAGTTGCCTATTTAATTCCTTTTATTTTTACATTTTTTACTGGTAAAACTACTTAATGCTATGAGTTTTCCTTTAAAAAACTTTTTTATCTGTGCCTATAGATTCTGATTAGTTGTCTTTTGTTGAAATTTATTTGTAGAATTTCTGAAATTTTATTTTGTTATTCCCAAAATATTGTTTAGGAGCATTTAAATAAATGTCCAGGTGTTAGAACCTGTCATTTTATTTTTATATTAATTTCTTTTTAATATTGAGTCTTCTTTATTATTTCTATATTTTGGAATTCAAAGGAGGATTTCTTCGTAACTAAATTTTGGACATTGCTCATGAATATTTCATTAAAGAGATGTGTATTTTCTGTTGTTTCATTAAGAGTTAGATATAAATCAATGAAATTTTTTTCCCTTGCTGGACACATCAGGTATTTCAGTTTCCCTGAAAATCCATGTAAAACTTATTTTCCATATCCAAGCTGCCTTTCTAAAGCACAGATCTGAGCATTCCACATATCTCTCTTCTGTTGGAATATGGGATATGAACTGTGTTTATCCCTGGCTGTACTAAGCATTCAAATCTTTGTTGAATGTATGAGTGTCACTACCCTGACATGTACCTGCTTCTCACTGTCTGAAGTTTAACTTCTAAATTTTCTCTGGTCACTAAAAATGGATCAATCATTCTAGTCTTGTTTCTCACCACTTTCTAGTCTTCTTTCTTGCCACTTTGAAACAGGCATGCTGTATTCTATCCTCAGATATAGTCTAAGCAAATAGTACTCTCAGAGTCCTTAAGCTTTTGATGATGATCTTCCCCCCTTCTTCCTCTGACCAGTGGGATATTATTCCATCTTTAAGGCAGGCCCAAGTTTAATACTCATATTACATTATTGCCTCATCTCAGGTCTCCCTTAGCACTTTGTACTCTAAATGCTGCCCTTTTATCACTTTTTAATGTGCTATTTGAAAGTGTTTTCCTCATTACACTGTGACTTCCTTGAAGCCAAAGACCATATCACATCAATTATTTTTCACTCCCAGCACTCATTACCATAGATAACTTAAAATTTAAACTCAGTCACGTCATTCATCAGCCTGTCCCTCTGAATAAATCTTTCTAGAAGAATATCACTTGGTTTTTAATATGAAAATTTCATAAAACATATGCAGCTCTCAATACAATGATTTTTAGACTGTTATTTACACGAGAAAACTTACATTTATTTCCGAAAAACATCTTGGAAACCATAACAAAAGGGTGAAATCTAAGAGAGGTGATAGGAATTCGAAAAAACTTTAAAAACCTGATTGATCAATGATTAGAAAATGATATTTTAAGCATTTTACAAGCTAGCATAATCTCGTTACTTATATGTTAAGTACAATTTTGGTTATATTTTAAGAAATTGTTTGAAGGTTTTGAGTTGACATGATATGCACTGTAATTTTTTCATGTAAAAATTGGAAAATAAGCTCTCAGAGCTTATTTTTATTCAATATATCTCATAAATCAACAGATCTGATATTGATATGAAATGCAATAACCATCTGCTTTTTTAAAATGAATTATTAATTGGGAACAACCTGTAATTACTATTAAGTTATTTCTGATTTTCTCAGATTCGTATTCAATTGCATTTATTTCCAGAGCATGAGTAGAACATATGTCCTATGTGTGTGTGAAAAAATAA